TGGAAAATCGATTGTTCGGAGAAGAAAAGGTGAATGCTACCATGAGTCCTGTGTTGTGCCAACAGTGAAGCATCCTGAGACCATCCATGTGTGGGGTTGCTTTTCAACCAAGGGAGTGGGCTCTCTCATAATTCTGCCCAAAAACACTACCATGAATAAAGAATGGTATCAAAACATCCTGCAAGAGCGATCGACTTCTTCCAATGATCCATGAGCAATTTGGTGATGATCCGTGCATTTTCCAGCATGATGGAGCACCATGTCACAAAGCAAGAGTGATAAAGAAGTGGCTCGAAATCATTACAGTGGAATTTTGGATCCATGGCCAGGCAACTCCCCGGATCTCAAGCCTTTAAAACGTTTGATATATGCTTATAATTGTTTTTCAGTATACCATAGAAACATGTGGAAAAATAATTGTCAAATACTGAAGCAGCAAACTTTGCAAAACACAAAATTTATGACACTGCCAAAACGTCTGGCCATGACTGTACTAAACATGGTATTTCCACGTTCGTCTATTTTTATTTCCATTTTACAGCTTCTTTTTCGAGTAGTTTTTAAAATTGGCGGCACAATACATGATCACCAGATTGTGCATTATATTCCTGGCTCACGCGCGTAGACAACACCTAGAATGTTGTTTGCGCGGGATGTAACGCAAACAGTGATGAGAAAAATGAGGTTTTCGCAAAAATAGAACCATACCGAACTGATTCACAGAATGATTCATTTTTCCAAAGCACTGAAAGAAGCTCGAAAATTCGCACTCAAAACGGTATAAATGCAACGTGAACATAGCCCAAGGATGCATAAAAACACGTGATTAGAAATGAATCGATTGTATTAAATACCATTATATAAGAAGTGTCTGTTTTTATTTTCCGTTCTTTTATGTATTTTTATGCTTTGGCTAATTAGGTCATTTAGAAAACAATTACCTCTCACATTCCCTTTTCAGTATATATGTTTATTAAAATGTATTAAATTAATTTAAACTGAACCTAGACTATAAACTGACTTGACCTGAGGTTTGAAGGCTTAAAACAGTACGACCTTACAAAACCAATGAAGCATTCTTTTGGCTATAACCTACTAAAAGTAGCATTTGCACTGTAAAAATGTCATGCATTGATTCTGTTCTGTTCTGTTCTTCAGGAAGAGTGTTTGTCCATTGTCTGATGGGAGTGAGCCGCTCTGCCACCCTGGTGTTGGCCTTCCTCATGATCTGTGAGGATCTTACACTAATGGAGGCCATTAAAGCTGTACGGCAACACAGGGACATCTGTCCTAATCCTGGCTTTCTTAACCAGCTTCGACATCTTGACATGAGCCTCGTCCGAGAGAGGAAGAAAAAACTGGAAGCTTACAAATTGTAACTGAAAACTTGGTAACAATGTGATGAATCCCATTTCAAGAGCACATCCCTTAAGGGCCTCCTTTCCCATGGCCTTGACCCAGTTCTATTGGGACAGATCTTATTTGCTAATATTCATTGTAGTGCAATAGCAAAGTGGGTATCAGAAGGCAAAATTGAAGGGTTTCCCCATAAATAGTAAATAGCCTCCAAAGGGCAGCAGGGTCGCAAAATAAATGGCAGGATTTTAAATTTCTTCCAGATGAGATATACTTTGAACTTGTCCCGAAATGAGCCAGCAAGCATGTTTGGTTTTTTTACTGGAGCGAAATAAAACGGTTTTGGCTTGCTCTTTATCATGGGAAGGTGGAAGAGCCATGCATGGCTACATGACTTAAGGGTTGGTCTCCTGTAGTGAGTTTCTAATGGGTATCATATGCTTCAACATATTTACGGTTTCTGGTCAAAAACACTGGTGTTGTGACCTACGGATATTGATGACCAAACAAGAATGTGATGATAAAGCATTTAAATTATTTCTCAGTCCAGTGGAACAGACCAAAACTGTCACATTGTTCCCTCTGAAACATATATTTTCTTGTTGGTATGTGAAATAAATTACACAGTACCTCAGGAATTATCTGTTAATTTTCACCGGTGACTGTGAAGGCAAACATGATTACAGAAGCAGAAAGGTCAAATGTGTAATATGTGTAAATACAAACTGTCCCATGAAAATGTGCATTGATCATTCTACTCAGAACACGTGCATTGAATTAACACAGGCTATATAAGGCTATATCTTTGTTTCCAGAGATTTCTAACCTTTTTTGACAGAAAAGCTCCTAAAGACAAACCACTGGCCTCTCAGCTGCAGGCAGTGTATGAGACGCCATCTATATCAGATCTGCGGTGCCTGCTGCTGACAAACAGACAGCCTTTCGGACCTGTCAGTCTTATCTGGCCCGGCCTGTACATCGGAGATGAGTAAGTACTGAACCATCACAGTCTTGGGAGTAAAACAGATCTAACCAAGATACTGGTGAAAATCCAAAGTTTCCCACTATAGGTGTCTGTGTTTACAGTTTATTCTAAGTAAATTATGTAATCAAAACATGAAGACGTGTTAAACAGCCGCTCATTTCAGGTCAACGGCTCGTGATAAAGGACTCCTCGCTGATCTGGGAATCACTCATGTTGTAAACTGTGCTGACAGACCGCATCGCATTAACACGGGCGCCCAGTTCTACTCAGACATGAGTATAAGTTACTGTGGAGTGGAGGCTTCAGATCACCCACAGTTTGATTTGAGCCAGTATTTCTGCTCCACTGCATCCTTCATTAAAGCTGCACTCTCTCAAAATGGCAAGTCTGACTTCCTTGACCTTTTTCTGACTAATTTTGTCAGTGATTGTATTGAAATTAAAAGAAGCAGAGCAAAAGAATAAATGGAGCCGTGCAAAGTCAGCAGGCAATACAGTCATTTTAATAAGTGAAATATGTAAATCATAACCATTGTCAGAGATACCGAATAAGTTAGGAGGTTCTTTGTGTACTGCAGGCAAAGTGCTGGTTCACTGCGCAATGGGAGTCAGTCGCTCCGGAGCCTTGGTCCTGGCCTTCCTCATGATGTACGAGAACCTCACTCTTACGGACGCCATCATAGCTGTCAGGTTGAACAGGGACATCTGTCCCAACTCAGGCTTTCTAGAGCAGCTGAGAGCTCTGGATAACCAATTAAAGAGATAATTCACTCAAAAATGAAGGTTGTGCCATTTACTCACTTTCATATGGTTTCAAACCTATATGACGGATCGTCATACAGCTTCACAAGACATGTAGTCATATGAACATACCTTTTATGATACTAGAAAAAGCATACTGGAGATATTGAAAAAGCGTACATTTTATGTTATAATTTTTTTAAAATCATTTCTACTTTTGTAGAAAAAGAAAGTAATATAAGTCTGGAATGATAGGAATGTGAGTAAATGATATGATGACATTTTGATAAAATATGATGACATCCTTTTAAGATGAACAAAAACACTGAACAAACAAACAAAAAAGTTCAAAAGTTTGGGGTCGGTTTGATTTTTAACTGATTTTAGATGTCTTACGCATCCCAAGGTGGCATTTATTTGACAAAAATACAGTAAAAAACAGTAATATTGTGAATATTAGTTTTCCATGTTAATATATTTTAAAATGTAATTCATTCCTGTGATGCCAAAGCTGAATTTTCAGCTGTCATTACACCAGTCTTCAGTCATGTGGTCCTTCAGAAATATTTCTAATATGCAGATTTGCTGTGAAATCAGTGATACATTTTCCCCCAAAATTCTTTAATACAAAGACAGTTCAAAAGAACAGCATTTATTTGAAATAGAAATCTTTTTAACATTATAAATGTACTTTCTCACTTTTGATCGATTTAATGTGTCCTTCCTGAAAAAAAGTATTATTTTGAGAAAAAAAAAAACTAAAAATAAAATTCGAACAGTAGTGTAAATAATGACTGATATTTTAATATATGCAAGAGACATCGAGTAAGCAGCTTCATATCAAATTATGAATCAACTTTAATGGAAGATGAACTGCTGTAATGTAGTACTGTTTCAACAGAGAAGCTATAAATAAGAAGATCATTGTGCTGCTGTCTCAGGCATGAAGTATGAACGTCACTCCCCACATACTGCACACATATTTCTTTTCATTTTCTACATTTCACGCATATGCTATAACATACTTTAAAGGAGTATATAAAACAATATCTAACGGAAATATAGCTAGAGACACTAATTTCTTTTGGAACATATGTGCTGGAATGATTTGAAATTCATGAAAATTAAGACCTCGTCTCGCAGTAATGGAGCTGCTTTTGTGGGAAAGAAAGAAGATTTCAAGGTTGAAGGAATAAGTGATCCTGACAAAACAGTAAAAGGAATTCAACATCACCAATTTAATGACTTCCCTGTCAAGGTGAATGATGGTGGTGACGGAGTATGAGAGGAGGGGGAAAAAAAAACATCCAGTGCTGATGGTTTTGAAAACCATCCCTCTCCGGAGATGATTCATGTGTCCTTTTCACATATCTGGGAAGCGAAAAGCAGCCGTTTTAGGGGGGCGTGGCAGAGTCTTAACTTTGATAAAGAATATCTCTTTGGTTTTGAGACTTTAGTCTTTGCAACTTCAGGGATCTTATCTATGCACAGTCAGCTTGTAACACTCCAAAGAGAAAGGAAAACTTGAAATCGCATCATATGACCCCTTTAATGTCTATTTTAGTTAACTTACAAACTAGAATAGGATACAGGTACTCCATTAGCCTGATTAGATTTATACACCATACATTTGTACTTAGCCTTCCTGTATTCACTACTATCTTTAATATGTGAGCCTTTGCAAAGAGCTTGATTGACCAATCATAACACCGCATCTGCTATTTTTGTCCGACAAACAAAACAGACAGTATAGATTACCTTAGGTGGACTTGAACTTGAAAAATATGACGTGTACCTGTATAAGTGTATTGACGTCTTTCCACGGTTGAAACAAGATACCTTCTGATGTTCATTCATGTTTATTTCGCGCTATAACCAGTAAAGAGGAAGAGATGATCAGTTCACGTGCCGCTTGAGGCGCTACAGCGATCCAACACACATTAAAGAGCCACAAAATGGTATTGTTTGAATTTCTTAAAAAATGACATTTGAAAGCAGACTTTGCTTCATACCTGAAGTAACTCTGTCTTGTCTACCAGTGTGTTGAGAGTGCATGGCTTGTCAGACATAGCAACAGTAACGAAAGGGGGCGGGTCTTTGCAAAGAGTCAATTATGTAATTTCAGTTATTACAATAAATGTTTAATTATTCATTATTTTTTATTAGGTTTATCTAGTGCAAGAAATTTTAGCATGCACTACATAGTAATTACATATTTCAACATTGTGTGTACTTAGCATAACTATTTACTGACAGATGATGTAGACTCATTTTCTCATGACAGCGAGTGTTGGCGACACATGCTCAACATTATGTAAATAAGCAGCGATGCGGTGACTACCAATATGAGTGCAGAAAGTGATCCACAGCTTGGATACCAGTCAGATTGCTTACTAGAAACTGACATCTCATTGATTTAATCACTTTAGTCACACAATAGTGAAACAGTTACATGAATCTGGACAGATTATATGGTGCTGCATGTGTGTCTACAGCTGGAGGTTGCAAACACACCACTCCCCTCATCAGCTCCTGTGCTGCGAAGGTCACAACTCATAGATCAATAGCCTAAAAATATCATTTCAAATGCGCAGGCTATTCTGGGCCAAGCAAACATGCCGTGTCTACTTGGTACAAACGGACCACCTGAGGCTGTTAATATTGGAGGCAAGCGCCACACCATTAGGGGGAACAAATGTAATCTTTTTTCACGTTTACACATACAATCATTGATACGCTAAAGTGGTGTATTTTGGAAAGCCAATCTTGTGTTTGAAGAGAGGGAGCAATTGTTCAGACTGCAGGGAATACAGGCCTAATCCCCATATTTCCACAGGCCCTAACTATAGTAAGCAAAGTTTCAACACACTAGCTTAGGAAATGTATTCGCAACCATCTACTGAAAATTGATATCTGTTTTGACAGCATTTCAACTGTCATATCAGTGTAATCATGCATACGTGCACGTTTTAACAGCAGAAGCCTTGTGAAAATAATTAGTCAAGTGTTTGCTTTCAGGCTGAACTAATAGAGCCTGCAGATCAGAAAACAGCTTTGACAGCTTTTACAGGTCCCTTATTAGCTGCATTAAACCACATGCTAACATACAATTACAAAACAAATGTTACATAAAGTTTCTTTTTAGTTCCTCTCTAAGGCATAATAATACTCACATGTTCAGCAATGGGAATTAAAAAGAAGATGGCATTCAATGAACATGTACACTAGTGCAGATTCATTTAGAAAGTGACTGTACATAAGCATTTCAACTGCAGGAATTACCAGGAGAATATGAATGAATATATATATATATATATATATATGTGTGTGAAAAGATATATATGTGAAGAGTTCAGATGCAAAAGCCTCTAAGTGCCGTTTGTGAATGAATATATATATATATATATATATATATGTGTGTGAAAAGTTATATATGTGAAGAGTTCAGATGCAAAAGCCTCTAAGTGCCGTTTGAAATTTAGTTCTAAAATTAGCACTTTTCTCATTCTCCTATGTTTATGTCCAGTTGATTTCTGAAGGATCATGTGACACTGAAGACTGGAGTAATGTTGAAAATTCAGCTTTGATCACAGAAATCAATTATATTTTAAAGTATATTAAAACAGAAAACCAATATTAGAAATTGAAATAATATCTCACAATATTAGTTTTTTCTGTATTTTTGATCAAATAAACACAGCCTTGATGAGCACAAGAGACTCCATTAAAAAAACATTAAAAATCTTACTGATCCCAAACTTTTGAATGGCAGTGTATATATATCTGGTCCATGTCTAAATTAGTGAAAAAGATAGTAATGCTACTAAGCAACACTATGTCAAACAGATTAACATGTAAAAGAGATAAAATGAGGTTAAAGTATTTGGTTCGATGGAAGACAACTCTAGATTGCCATCAACTTCAGAAACATGGAACGAAACGTTCTCAACGCGGAATAATGTTGCTAATGCTACCTAGGCTTGAACATTGATTACTATGGAGTGGAGGCAAAAGACTTAGCTACTTTAAACCTCTCGGAGTTTCTCTACCCTGGAGCTCAATTTATTGACCATGCACTCAGCAAAGCAGAAAGTAAGTAAAGAGAGAGACAGGGCATGTTAAATCTCTTTAGATAAGAGGGAAGTAACAGGCACTCAAGGACTCAATCAAGTGAGCCCTGTAGAATTCAAATGAGAGGCCCAAAAAGCAGAACTGATGGAGGCAAGTGTTCCTGATGCAGCTTCTCTCTGCTCTCTTGTTGGTTTATTAGCGCTGACCTATGAAGTCGGCACTAATATCAGTGACAGATACATTCTTATGCGTGTAAACCCACTGGAAAATGGAAGGTGAACTGGAATTCAATTGGATTATCCTAAAAATGGATTGATCTCGGTACTTTAGTTTAGACCATTTGGATTAAAGTCAATTAGTTCGTCATTTAAGGAATGGTTAAAGGTTTACAGATAAAGCATAAGGAAATATGAAATTTCTTTGACACACATCCAGCTCATATTTACTGATTTGTAATGTTTGTACCGCAGGATTATATGGTCTAAAAAATAAAGGTACTTCCTTTGGCTCTAGCACACTATAATTAATATTTGTAGTCAGGTTCATTTTTATTGCCAAGGCAGCTGTGCTGTTGCATTAGATACATGTTAGTGTTTTCCAGCTAAATGTATCCATCCTCTACAGTCAAAAGCATCCGTTTGTCTATTCAGTAGTCCCTGCACTCTACAAGATTGTTTCCAACCATAATGCGTTTGAAAATCTGTTGGCTGTAATAGATCCATTCAAGAATGAAAGTACGAGTCTGGATAAGCATGAGATGAAAACAGAGTCCATACACACTTTTAAGTCTGTCAGTGGCTCATCATAATTTATTTTCTGCTAAAATGTACAGCATTTAAGTGACCGACTAAAAAGGTAAGTATATATATACATACTACCGTTCAAAAGTTTGGGATCAGTAAGATTTTTAATATTTTTTACTTAAGTTTTTTGTGCTCATCAAGGCTATTTACCTTTTTACATGCCATCTGTTTTGTCTATCAACAAGGCTACTGCTCTACATTTCAGTAAAATATAAATCAGATGTTTCATAAAGATAAAAAAAATCTACAGATGGAATGAAAATGTAAGTTTAAAGGCATTTCATAAAAGACCAACTTGAGTAAATTGACACTCATAATAATAATTTTGCAACTCTGCCCCATTTGAAATGGTTTCGTTTCCCCTTCCCCTTTGATTTAGATTTCTACAAGTACAAATACTGACATTGACTGTTCTTTGCTATTGTGACAGAAATTGCTTTAAATTGTATAAAAACAGAAAGCATACACTACTGTTCAAAAGTTTGGGATCAGTAAGATTTTTTATATTTTTACTGAAGTTTCTTGTGCTCATCAAGGCTTTATTTATTTGATCAAAAATAAATAAAAAAACCCTGTTATTTTGTGAAATATTATTGCAATTTAAAATAACAGTTTCTATTTTAATATACTTTAAAATATAATGTATTCCTGGTGAAGCAAAGATGAATTTTCAGCATCATTACTCCAGTCTTCAGTGTCACACGATCCTTCAGAAATCATTCTAATATGCTGATTTATTATCAATGTTGGAAACAGTTGGGCTGCTTCATGTTTTTTGGAACCTGATACGTTTATCAGGATTCTTTTATGAATATATATATATATATATAAAAAAGCATTTATTCAAAATGGAAATCTTGTGTTACAATATACACTATATATACCGTTCAAAGGTTTGGAGTCAGTAAATTTTTTTTCTTTCTTTTTTG